GAACTTCATCATCTAGTGAAGAGTTGAAGGCACTGCCCTCATGTTGTGTATCCGTGGTTTCCCGGGGAGTGTGTTATAACTCATGTCACCTTCGATGACATGGAATTTAGTGTCTTGTATGGTCCCGGCTACGTTTACTGGCAAGATAATCTCTCCCTTAGTTGTTTCACTTGCCATGTTGAAGCCATTTAGGACCCGGGATGCAAATACATCTGATCTTGTAGGCTGAGTTGTTCCACGACCCTTGATCTGATTATGTTTATTGAGCTACCTGGATCCACTAAAACACGTTTAACTTGAATTTTATTTAAAAGGATAGAAATTACCAGGGCGTCGTTGTGTGGCTGAGATATGCCTTCTGCTTCTTCTTCATAGAACGATAAGGCATCCTCGGGCACATAGATCCGAGTCCATTTTTCTTTGGTAATTGATGCATTGGTGCGTTTGAATACAGACCGTTGCGGGACATCGACTCCGCCAATGATCATGTGGATTACATGTTGTGGTTCTTCTTGCTCATTTTTCCTTGCATCTCTCTCCCTAAAGTGGTTTTTGGCTCGATCGGTGAGGAATTCTCGAAGGTGACCCTCGTTGAACAACCGAGCCACTTCTTCCCTTAGCTGCCTGCAATCTTCTGTTCTATGACCATGTGTGCCATGATACTTGCACATCAAGTTCGGGTTCCTTTGAGAAGGATCGGTCTGTATAGGCCTGGGCCACTTGGTGTCTTTGATTCTCCCAATAGCTGACACAATCCCCGACACATCTATGCTGAAGTTGTACTCCGGTAATCGAGGAGCCTCCGCGGGGTCGGTATGCTTATCGAACCCGCTCTTACTCATGAGTCCCCAAGAACTTTGGCCTCGATCGTTCATCTAATCGTTCCGATGAGTGTTGCGACCTGGACCATTGTTTCTCCGATCGATATATGGCTGATACCATTCCCTGTTTGATCTCGATTCCCTGTCCGTATCCCTCGGGGGCTTGGCTGCGAATCTGTTAGGATGACTGAACCCGAAAGGGCTCCCAACTAGTCGTCCTCGACCCTGATTTTTCATTGGTAACGGTTGTGCACATCTGACCATGTCAGAGCTGGATATTCGATCAAGTTCTGTTTTAACTGTCGAGACGCAAATGAACTCCGTTCGTTCAAACCCTGCATAAAGGCATGTACTACCCATTCATCGGAGACCGGCGGCGATTCCATTCTTTCCATCTGGAACCTAGACACGAATTCCCTCAACATCTCATCGTTCCTCTATTTTATCTTGAAGACGTCAGATTTTCTCGTGGCCACCTTTACGGCCCCGGCGTGTGTTTTCACAAAGGCATCTGCTAACATAGCAAATGAGTCAATAGAGTTAGGAGCTAAATTGTGATACCAAATCATAGCTCCTTTCGACAATGTTTCTCCAAACTTTTTTACCAAGACCGATTCGATCTCATCGTCATTCAAATCATTTCCTTTAATCCCGCAAGTGTATGAAGTAATATGCTCGTTGGGGTTGGTTGTTCCGTTATATTTGGGTATATCAGGATTTCAAAATTTCTTAGGAATGGGCATCGGAGCTGCGCTCTGAGGGAATGGTTTTTGTATGAACTTTTTAGCGTCTAAACCTTTCAAGACTGGAGGTGCCCCCAGTATTTGGTCAACACGAGAGTTATAAGTTTCCACCTTTTGTCATTGTCTTCAATTTTCTTTTTCCCGGACTCGATCCTCTTGGTGAGCTCTCCGAGCATCCTCATAATCATGGGGTCAGTCCCCGAGCCACTTTCATCTTGCCATTCTAGCGCTAGTTCAGTATGCCGAGTGTTTATTGATTCGGCTGTATTTGGAGTTTTATTTTGACTCTGAAGTTGAGCGATGGCGATTTGCTAAGCTTGCAGCATCTCGAATATTACTTGGAGGCTCATTCCCCCATCTCCCATTCCTTGTGTTCTTTGGCCTCCAGATCGGGTTCCCTGCGTATATTTCCTTCGGGGTCCGCGCCTAGATCTGCATTCAAAGCAATGTGCGAACTAACATCAACTGGTTCCACATTTGACACTTCCCCTAGGTTTATCGGCGGTACATCGACCCCTGCGTTGCTATTTTCTCCAAGACCTTCGTTGTCATGAACATGTGCATTTTGTGAGCTAGACATGTTTCAACCTGAGAATCAAAATTTTTGACAAGAAAAAGTGTAAAAACAACGTGTGTAATGAGAATCAGTAAAGAAATAATCACTATTATCTTTATCCCCACGGTGGGCGCCAAATTGTTTACCTCGAAAATACGAGTAACAACTAAATTTGATTTGTGGTTTTAAAGATATGTGATTTAGTTCAATACCAATTAATAATCAAGAAATATGAAGTTGAAATAAAAGAAACAAGTGTATCAAACCAATGTAACTCAGCAGTAGTGACCTCGAGCTTAGTGACCTCGAGATGGATTAAGAGCAATAAAGTAAGAACAAGAAATGTAAAGGACAATTCTGATGAATAATAAGAGAGAAAAGTATGATAGTATATTCTTGCCAATGATGAGATGATGTTACAAATGATTGGGGTCCCCTTTATATAATAGGAGAACCCTAAATAAGGTATATTTCTATTTACAGTAAGGAATATTCTTGATATAGTTGTCTAAACGCCTATTACGGAATCGTACAATTCTACTGCGGGATTTGCGCCATGATGTTGGGGACGTGGCAAGAATCTAGCTCATTCTGTTACAAATTCATAACGGTACAATTTCGGGTCAAGCATACTCGGCCCCGGCATACATCATGCTTCAATCTTCGGGCATTGCACATTGTTCTCGAGCTTGGATCTGATCCCTGTAGCTCGAACTCGACCTTGCCTGAACTCGGGCTCAGGACGACCCCTCGAGCCTATAGATCGGAGGCATACGATTTTGACCGTATACACACTATTATGTCTGAATTTCGAAGACTAAATTTTGCTTCCATTTTCATATTATCAGTTATACATCCTAAGCATTCATTATGTTCAAAGAGACGGATTTTTTTCTTGAAGAAATGATAGAAGTAAAGAATTATTAGGTAAGCGAGGTGGATGAAGTGTGAAAATAGTATGGTTATATAACTTTTGAAACTTGTAACTTTAAAAATACTAGTAGTATACCTTTGTATGACTAAAAAACTCATCACTAATGATATAATGAAAATTATAATGTTAACTATTTTCAAATATAAAAATATATGAAATGTAGAGTCACATAAACTGAGACGATAAGTTTCAATAATCGATTTAAAATTTGAATTTTATTTGGAAAACAGTAACAACAGCCAATTCACTCAAAACAAAATAAATACTACATGATACTTTAATTATTAGAACATCAATTATATAGCATTCTAATTTACCAAAAAAGTAAATTATATAGCATTCTCCTGGTTAGATGGAGTGAAAGTTAAATGTTGAAAAACTTACATGGTATATGCCAAGTTAATTTAACTTTAACGGTTAAATATTATATAATTTTAAACTTTTGCTCTATGTGTTTTCATTTGAAACTCATTTTTTTTAAAAAAATAAAAAATTCCTTAATCATAATTATTCATTATGATTTTTAAATGTTTTATGCTATTTCCTATTTTTTTCACGCTTTTAGTACGACAAGTGATGCCACTACATTTACATGAATAAACATTAAAAGGTTCTTAATATTTATTTTTACCTAACATAACATATAAAATACATGATTAATTAAACACACCTAACAGCTAAAAGTTGATATGAGAAGATTTCACAAATCACTTTAGTTTGTTGGTTATTCATAATTGGACATAGATAGTATTTTCAAAAAGGGAAAATAGCATTCTTAGTCCTTGAATTATTGATATATTCTTATTTTAGTCCCTGTACTATTCCTTTATAGCTTTGACCTACAATTAAATCAATTATGCTATTTTAGTCCTTAAAGCTAATTGAAGTTAGCTAAGAAGATGTTTTTAAGGCCTCATTTGCACTTAATGGAGGTCTGAATCTTAATCATTCAGATCCTAGACATTAAGTGCGTTTGTTTTTAAAGTCTGAATCTTAATTATTCAGATTTTAATCATTTGTGTGTTTGTTTTTTTTACTTCACAATCACTTAATGGGTCTGAATAGGTCTGTATGATTAAGATCTATGACAGAGACTTAATTTCATTAAAATGCTATCACATATTCATTATTAACTGCCCCCACTGCCTACCATTATCAACTACCACCATGGCACCACCACCACCACCTCCTCCACCACCCTCATGCCACCATCATCCTCAATCATAGCCACCATTGTCTACCATCACCACCCACTATACCCACCACTCCGACCACCATCATTCTCACCCACAATCAACACTCATCCACCTCAACTACCACAACTGACCACCCCATCATCATCAACAACCACAATTGGCACTGCCCATCATTATAACCTACCACCACCCACCCACCACCTTCCTCAGTCACAACTACTACCACCAGCCGCTATTATTAACTATCACCACCCACTACCACCATCCTCAATCATAATCACCACCACTACCAATCATTACTAGCTACTAGCATGAACCACCATCATCAACCAAAACTCTACCAACCACCGCCTTTAGTCGGCATTCACCCGTTAGCCATCACCGCCAACAACTATCATATTTTAAACAATTATGTATTTTATTGATAGAATATTAGATTAGTTAGTATTTCATTTAAATTTTATGTTTATTAATTTTCAAATAAAGATAAATTTTATACATTCAGATGTTAAAAATTAACAGTCTTAACTATTTAGTATTCAGATCTTAATACATATCTTAATGTATTCATATGTGTATTCAGATTCAGATGTCTTAATCTTAATATACATCTTAATATTCAGATTCGAACGTCTTAATCTTAAAAAAAAAAAAAAATATATATATATATATATATATATATATATATATATATATATATATAGGCCTAAGTGGTGTCCACTTCTAAAGGATAAAATCATAAAAATGAAACCACGCGTCTAAAGAGTTACAAAAAGTGTTACACAAATGGCCGGCGCATTGATTGCTAAGTACTAAAATTCTTTTTTCTGTCTTTGGCATTGGCCATTATTCCTCTCTCTTTTTGCCAGCTTTAGTTGAATTTCAACTTTCAACCAGTATTGGTCACTCTATCCTGCGAAAATTCCTCAATTCTAAAGGATGTTCATCACTAGTAAGTGATACTATTAAAATTTATATTTTTATATTATCAATGTATTTTAATCTGTTATAACATGTAATTTACCTTATTTCTTATATTACTAATCCCATTTTTTATAAACAACTACACTTAATTATCATCTATGGATAACTACAGTGTACAATTTCTTCTACACACCATTAGGGGTTGTTTGTTATACGGATTAAATTATCCCAGAATTATAGTCTTAAAATTATAATCCCTAGACTAATTTATCCCACCTAATGAAATAAAATAATATCGAGTTTGATGGGATAAGGTGAGATAAGAGTTTATACTATATTTGGTTGACACTATAAATTTATTCTGAAATAAATTTATCCTGGAATAAATTTATACTGGGATAAATTTATACCGTCAACCAACATAGTATAAACTTCAAAAAAATGTGTTCAATCATAAGCAAGTCGCCTTGGGATTAGAACCCTTTTCACCTGTATATTCTACATTGTGCTTTTGATCAAAGACTTACCAGGAAATAAATAAATGTTGATTTTCTTTAATGCGTTTCACAATATTCCTTTTTTTTTGCCCTCATAAATAATAGAGAGAGTTCCTTACCAATGGTTTTATCTATCTTTTGGGAAATTGGTTCCAAGTGTAGGCCATGCAATCTTGTTCAGTTGCTTTCTTCTTGTTGTTTAGTGTAGTTCTTTTTCATAGTGTAAGTTATGAAAATTGAGGATTTACTTTTACTGCTCTGTTGATGTCAAAAGCAATAAATAAGTAGACATCAGATAAAAATGAAACCAATTTATTGAATTTTCCTCCCTTCTTTAGCTGAGAGTCTATCGAAAACAATCTCTTTGCTCTTTCAGGTAGGAGTAAGGATGCGTATATCTTACCCACCTTAGACCCCACTTGTGGGAATTAGCTCTGTTTGTTGTTGTTGATGTTGTTGTAATTTATTGAATTTTCCTCTTTCCAGATTATTGGTTATGAAATCTAAGGACTTTAGTACTACTGTAACTCTTTTACAGCTTTGTTGTTGTCAAAGTGGCCTTGCTTTGGATTTCTGCTTCTTTTGGCATTTCTATTGTTGAGCACAAGAACAAGTACTAGTTTAGCTTATGATAGACGCGAGATAATAAAGGCGCGTCATGGAGCTGTTGCCACTGATGATGGACGATGCTCGAGGATTGGAAGAGACGTTCTACGAGAAGGAGGCCATGCTGTGGATGCAGCAGTGGCTGCAGCTCTTTGCTTGGGAGTTGTTAGTCCGGCGTCTAGTGGCATAGGTGGAGGAGCATTCATGCTAATAAGATCAGCAGATGGGAAAGCACAAGCCTTTGATATGAGAGAAACTGCTCCCAAGAAAGCCTCTGAGGTATTTGAACTATTGGAGTCTTTTGATTGCGTAGATTCACAATTACTCAATTTAATAGCTTGTCTTCAACTGTGTCGCTGGGTATGTGAACAAAGTCCCACATTGATAGCTGAAAAGATTGGAAAGCTACATATAAGGTATAGAAATCACTTAATGGTGTGAGGCTTTCTTGAGGAAAACCGTGCAGGTTTGGCTCAAAGCGGACAATATCACACTGTGCTAATAGTATCTTTGGGCTAGTTTAGCCCGACATGTTTAAACCTAGGTTGAAATCCACTAGGAAATCAAATCAAATATGTGTAGGTCTCATATCTATAGGAATACAAATTAACACTGTGTTTTAGTCCCATATTACTTGATATGTTGAGCAAACATGTACACATACATACTCTGGTAGAAACAAAATTGACAATCTAAAATAGATGAATTAAGTTAGAAGAGCAGATGGCAGTGCAACAATGCTAAAATTGGAAAGGATATAAGACAGTTGAGATGAGGAGTTCATTTGGTGAATCGTGCTTCTCATATTATATCTATAATTCGAAGAATGTTTATCAGTGATATCCTTGACAGGAATATTAGGAAAAGGCAATAAAAGAATGTACTGCTTCAGTTTGCACTCCATATAAATATGGAAGTTTTGCTGCTTAACCACCAATATTATGTGGATTGCACTAGTTATTGCATTGTTTCAAGTTCTTACAAACTCGACGAAATATATGTAGACGATAGACTTTTTGCAACTCGTGTCATATCTTTCTTCTCCAGAATATGTACGTAGGAAATGCTGCTCTAAAAGCTAGTGGAGTTCTTTCAATAGGAGTTCCAGGAGAAATTGCTGGCCTTTACAAAGCGTGGAAGCTATACGGAAAGCTTTCATGGAAACGGCTTGTGAGGCCAGCTGCACATCTAGCTCATAGCGGGTTCAAGATTTCACCATATCTTCACATGCAAATGTTCAAAAGCGAATCAGATATTATGTCGGACAAGGGACTTCGCGACTTGTTCACATCAAATGGAAGCCTTTTGCAGATAGGAGATATATGTTATAACAAACAGCTAGCTAAAACACTTAGAGCACTTTCCGCATATGGAATTAGGCCATTTTATAATGGATCAATTGGGGTTAAATTGATCAAAGATATAAGAAAATCCGGAGGCATATTGACAATGGAAGACTTGCAGCAGTATGAAGTTAGAATAAGAGAACCTATCTCTGCAGATGTCATGGGATTTAAGATACTTGGTATGCCACCTCCTTCAGCAGGAGGTGCTGCAATGGTGCTAGTAAGTATATCTCTTTGATTATTTCACTTAGGGTGCGTTTGGTATGAAAGAAAATGTTTTTCACATATGATGTTCTCCTGAAAAATAAGGGATTTTCTATTTTCTGGTGTTTTGTAAGTAAGCAGAAAATATTGTCCTAAGCGCATTTATATATAATCTAGGCAGACATTATAGGGTGGGGGTGGGTGGGGTGGGGGAGTTGGGGGTTGGGGTTTGAGGTTCAGGGTCCTGGTTTGGGGGGTCGGTGGTCAGTGGTCGGAGTTTCGGGTTTGAGTTCGGTGTTTGGGATTTAGGGTCCGAAGTCGATTTCCGGTTGTCAGGGTCGGGGTTCGAGGGGTCGGTGGTTGGGTTTCGGGATCGAGTTCAGTGTTTGGTGTTCACGGTTCGGGACCTGGGGTCTGGGGTCAGTTGTCGGTTGTTAGGGGTCGGAGTCTGAATTGGGGGTCGAGGGGTCGATGATCGTGGGGAAGGCAGACGGGTGGGATTGGATGGTGCGCCGAGGGTGAGGGAGGTGGATCGCGGGTTGGGGACTGAGGCTGAAGAAATAAATGCCTTTATTTGTCTTCCTCAGATACTGAACATTCTTGCACAATATGGAATTCCCATGGAAGGTCCAAGCTCCCTTCTAATTCATCGACAAATTGAAGCGTTGAAACATGCATTTGCACTGAGGATGAACCTTGGCGATCCAGATTTCATTAACATTAAAAGCGTCATAGATGATATGCTGTCAACTGAATTTGCAAAACAGTTGAAGAAAACCATATATGACAACATGACTTTCAGTCCCAATCACTATGGTGGCAAGTAAGCAACTTTAACTAAGACTTGATATTGCTCTCTCTTTTACCTTATTTATATTATCATATCTTGAAATCCTGTATCAAGAAAACTTGTATTGTTTTTTGCTAGAGTGAGTGGTATATTCAAATGTAACAATTTTGACAAACCTTTGATCTCAAATAGGTGGAATCAAATCTATGATCATGGTACCAGCCACATGTCCATTGTGGACAGTGATCGAAATGCTGTTTCGATGACTAGCACCGTAAATGCTTACTTTGGTGCAAAATATCTATCACCAAGTACAGGGATAGTTCTTAATAATGAAATGGATGACTTCTCAATTCCTGAAAAACGTTCCGAAAATGTTCCACCACCAGCACCTGCAAATTTTATCCGTCCGGGCAAAAGACCATTGTCATCAATGGCACCTACTATTGTTCTCAAGGTAAAGATTCAGGTTTTGTCCGCGTTTTAACGAGCTTAACTCATTGACGAACAAAGCGGGAGTTTAGTGTACCAGGCTGCCCTTTAATTCATTGACGAACATACTTTACAATAGGGGATTTTGTTGAACCTTACTTGTAATAACAGGGCGAACAACTAAGAGCGGCTATTGGTGCAAGTGGAGGAGCAATGATTATTGCTGGTACAACCGAGGTTTTTCTGAATCATTTTGCAAGGGGAATGGATCCCTTCTCTTCTGTAATGGCTCCAAGATCTTACCATCAGGTACTTATATTATAATAGCCAATTGTTAGTATCAGAGGCGGATCCATGATTTCAATAGAATGGGTGTACTATTGTGAAGAGGTGGATCTAGAAGTTATATTTGACGGGTTTTACTTTAGTCTCTTATCATGAACCCACTAAACTTTTGAAATTATAGGTTCAAAATTATATTTATATTTATAATCTGTGTCGAAAACAAGACCGTTCGGAATAGAATTTAAACTGCCAATTTCACTTGTAGAGGTGCACCCAATAATAATTGCACTATAGGTGTCTTTGAGCATGGGTGCGCACATATTTTGAAGAAATATAATATTGTTATTCATGGTTTAAGGAGAGGAGTATGGGTTCACGTGAACCCATATCCATTAACCTAGATACGCCTCTGGTTATTATCATTGCAATAATCCAATATGGGCGATAAATAACACAGAAGGCAAGATAAAATATTTGATAGTCTTTGAAAGATCATATTAATGGATATTCTCAATCTGGTTGAATACTGAATAGATTGATAAGATGCTTCTCATATTTCAAAAGTTTGCTTTTAAATAAAATGGAGTTACTTCCAATTTTATGATTTTCAAGCTTATTGAACCTTCACAATATTGTTCTTTGCAGTTGATTCCAAATGTTCTACAATACGAGAATTGGACGATTGTGACAGGCGACCACATAGAAGTTCCAGCAAAAACAAGAACTGCCCTGCAAAAGAAGGGGCATGTACTGCAAAGTATCGACGGAGGGACAATTTGTCAGTTTGTTGTTCAAGAATTCAAGTCATCAAAGTTGGGGGAGCTTGTAGCTGTAAGTGATCCAAGGAAGGGCGGATTTCCCTCTGGTTTTTTAGATGTACAATGTCGGACAAGGAGTTGTCGCTACAAAGGATCCTACAACGAAAGCCATATATGATCAGACCAGCTGATCATGTGAGATTTTTCTTTTATACACAACTAGAAACTACCATTTGCCTAGCCTAGATGAAAGCCGTAGCTAGAAGCAGGGGCGAACACACATGGGAGGAAGTCATCTGACTGCTTTCTTGCAAAGAGTACTTCTTGCTCCACTGGCCAAGCTCATATTTTAGCTTGTAAAGGTTACGGGTTCGAGGCTAGACCTGAACATTCCCTTTGCAATAATATTCAACTAAACCATTGGGTCAAGGCTCTTCAGCTTATGGGAAAATGATATTAATTATTACTACTACTTAATTTTTTATTTATTTATATAATGCGACACTGCTTATAAAAAGTTGTACCTACGCCCCTGGCTAGAAGGATGAGTTGCCATTCAGAAGCTCTTATCGAAGGCGGAGCTAAGTTCAAGCAAGGGGGTTCATAAGGGAAGATTTTACATTTTAGTCTGGTTGTAAAGGTGGTTCAAAACCTGTTTTAGGTCACAGGTTTTGATGTCCTCCTACAAAAGCGAATAATCTGTACTTTGTAACAGCTATAGACTCGTGTATTGAACGACAATTCATGGAAATGGTCCCGGCGGGGCTCGAACCCGCGACCTTCGGCTCATAAGACCAACGCTCTAACCAACTGAGCTACGGGACCATTACTTTAACAATAAGTAAGATTATTATATAAATCAGTAATTACATTGTAATTCAAGGTCTTCAGGAGATGAGAATGATTCTACCCCTGATTTCTTGATATTCTATACTCATTATAAGTATCATGATAAAACACTTCGTAAACGTAAAAAAGTTCTCATCCGTAGGATATACGATTATTTTGAACATCAAAAATACAGATGTAGTATTTTATTCTAATAAATATTAGTAATCTACAATAATGCTAAAAGACTAATCCGAATCTGATCTTTACACAAAATCATACTAGTTAAGTCGTAAATTGATTTAAGAATATGTTTAAATTAATTATGATTCGGTGATAAGAGTGTATTTCAAGATATATGCCATGTATTCAATAGTTTGGTATAACACCACGTAGTAGTATATAATTTAAGATTTGACTATGAAATTTATGATTGTTTCCCCTTTAACATATCGAACACAAAGACTAGAGACCTTAAGAACTTGAGCTAGTGGAGACTAGGACTATTGATGTCTACCGATTACGAAAATGAGGAGTAGCTTGATTAGCTTTTCTTGGACTATTGTTGTACGTGCGTTGTGCATGTATTCCAAATTAATAAGTATATGTTTAGCTTTAACTCTATTTCCAGAAGGAGAAGATTATCGCGTATAAATCCCAAGTATTCAACATATATCTTTTGTAAGCGACAAATTTATTCGTAAGAATTGATAAGAGAAGAGAAGTGCTCGATAAGAATATTATATATTAGACAAATAGTAATTTAGTTATTTCCTAATTTTAAGGACTTTAAAATTAGCTAAAATTTTGATTATTAAATCTTTCCTTATTTAAAATGTGTATCTCTTTGTATAGCAATATTAAATGCAGTAAATCTCTTTTTATAAATAAACTACTTATATTTAGGAGTTTGAGATCGTTGACGAATTTGCCATTTTTATTCTCAAACAAAGTTCACGGTAAAGTGTTTATGAATGAAAACAAGTTTAAAGCCTACGAACACCCAATTATGTCTTCTAAAATCCTACCAAATCTGGTGGCTTTGTGTTCACCTATATACAAAATTCACCAAAGGAAAACTTTTTTTTTTCCTGTTGATTCCACCAAATGACTTAATGTAAGTTTTCATAAAGTAAGTTATTTGTATTAATTTATAAATCTTTGAGAAATTGTGATAAAAGCATATGGAGTAACAAAATATCCATAATTTTAGATTTAATGTTAGGTCACATAAATAATAACATTTTTCAAACGATATAGTTAAAGGATATTCTTTTCAAATTCATGCAAAATCGATAGATCAAATCCATATGTAAACTTGAACGATCTTTTAACGTTAACAACAAGCACTCATTCTTTAACATTTATGTATAAAAAATAAGTACATATTATACTCTTTAATTCAAAATCAAATTCTAGAAATGCTTAATTAATAAAAGGATATTTGACAATTGCACGTCAAGTTCAAATGATACATCTAATTTTAGAGGAGACAAAGATATCGCTCCTGCTGGGATAGCCGTTGCTTGCCGGGTTACCTGCAAATAGAAGCAATACAAACGTATATTATGCATTAATTTAAACATGATGCAAGCTCCCGTTGGACCATGAGAGTCGTCTTGGAACGGTTAGAGATGGCGTCCTTAGACCATGATATCTTGGGCCATGAATTGTTTAGTGAGGGATTCGCAGGCCATGAAATGGTGTTCTCGGGCTATGAAAATGGTGCCTCCGAACCATGACGCCCTTCAATAATGATATGCAAGATTGAGGGATCCTCAGGCCATGGCATGGTGTCTTCCGGCTATGAGGATGATGCCTTTAGACAATGACGCCTTTGGATAGATTGGCGATATTTCAGCCCATGAGATGCAATAATATGATGTTAATAAGACAAGGCTTAGTCTTGTGAAATGGAGGGCAGAGCTTAACCCGATTGAAAAGCAAATGAATAGTACTAAAATAGAGCAATATTTGTGCAAAGAGGGACATTGCTTAGTCCCATGCAGATGGGGAGGCAAGGATTACCCTCATGCAAGTATGGAGGCAGGGATTAGCCTCATGGAGTCAGGGATTAGACTCATGCGAATGGGGAGGAAAGGATTAGCCTCATGCAGGTATGGGAAGGCATGGATTAGCCTCATGCAAGTAGGGAGTCAAAGATTAGACTCATGAAAGTATGGAGTCAAGGATTAGACTCATGCAAATGGGGAGGCAGGGATTAGCCTCATGGAGTCAAGGATTAGACTCATGCAAATGGGAAGGCAAGGATTAGCCTCATGCAGGTATGTAGTCAAGGATTAGACTCATGTAAACAGGGAGTCAAGGATTAGACTAATGCAAATGGGGAGGCAGGGATTAGCCTAACACAAATATGGAGGCAGGGATTAGCCTCATGCAAATATGGAGGCAGGGATTAGCCTCATGCAAATATGGAGGCAACGATTAGACTCACGGAGTCAAGGATTAGACTCATGCAAATAGGGAGTTAGGGATTTGACTCATGCAAGTATGGAAGCATGAATTAGCCTCATGGAGTCAAGGATTAGACTCATGCAAATGGGGAGGCAAGGATTAGCCTCATGCAGGTATGGAGTCAAGGATTAGACTCATGCAAACAGGGAGTCAAGGATTAAACTCATGCAAATGGGGAGACAGGGATTAGCCTCATGCAAGTATGGAGGCAGGGATTATATGTAATTTTAGCTTTAAAATACCAAATGCGATTATAAAAATGCATAAAATATATTAACCATATTTTGGCATAAATATAGAAATTAAATGACTAAATCATCATAAAAATAATTTGAGAAATAATTATTGGGATTTTATGAATAAAAAGGGAAGAAAACTAATCAACTTAAATTCCTAAATTCATGGAAACAATTGTAAAACCCTTGTGCATGCTTATATATGCATGTATATGCTATTCCGAAGCTATTTATGCATATAAAAAATATAGAAAAAAATTGGGTATCAACAATAGAGACTTGCTTCCGGTGTATTGTGTGACAGAAAGGTACCACCAAAACTTAAAGGTATATTTTATGGATTGGTGGTCAGACCGGCTATGTAGTATGGGGTTGAGTGTTGGCCAGTCAAGAGCTCTCATGTCTAGAAGATGAAGGTAGCAGAGATGGTGATATTGAGATGGATGTGCGAGCACACCATGTTAGATAGGATTAGGAATGAAGTTATTCGGGACAAGGTGAGTGTGGTCCCTATTGAGGACAAGATGCGGGAAGCACGACTTAGATGGTTTGTACATGTGAGGAGGATAAGCACAAACGCCCCGGTAAGGAGGTGTGAGAGATTGACATTGGAGGGCCGTACGAGAGGTAGAGGTAGGCCGAAGAAGAGTTGTGGTGAGGTGATTAGGCATGACATGACGCAACTACAGCTGACCAAGGACATGACCCGTGATAGGAAGGTATAGAGGTTGAAGATTAATATAGTAGGTTAGGTAGTCTAGATTATTCATACCGGTAGTGTTAGTATGTACTCTCGCATTTGGTTGGTAGTAGGCTTCTTTGAATACCTGTCGTTTTTTGCATTTTAATCATCTTACTATCTTGTTATGTATGCTGCTTTTACATGGGTTTTCGGTGTTGTCCCGTCTTGTTTTCTTGTTATTATTGTGGCAGCTATGCTTGCCTGAGTCGATGGTCTATCAGAAACAGCTTCTCTACCTCTACAAGGTAAGGGTAAGTTCTGCGTACACACTATCCTCCCCGGACCCCACTATGTGGGAATATACTGGATATGTTGTTGTTATTGTTGTTGTATAGCATATGTACTTATTTTTTTAGAAATGGAGTATATGACGTCATCGTATCTTACTTAAAACTTCTTCACATAATAAAAATGAACTTAAATTGCTCGTTAAAATTTGTACTCCCTCCATCTCAATTTATGTAAAAAAATTTGGATTTCGAGAGTCAAATAAATTTTTTATTGATCGTAATTTTTCTTATGCCTTTTAAATTAATAATTCTTGTGACTTATAGTATTCTTTTTATATAATTTTTAAATTTATAGTAAATTTTATTTATAAAAACTAAAAGATTATATGTCCAAGTTCAATCAAATTCAAGAAATTGATCCTTGATGTTTGAACTACGCCACAGTAGGAATACTATTATTATGATCTGATAAATAAAAGGAGGCTCATATTTGAATCTTTTGAACCCAAAGAATAAGTAGTCGGCATTTCGGCAAGTGATTCAAAGGTCAAACATTTATTTTTTATTTTTTTTATTTTACTTTGCTATAAATACTGAGTAATTGACCATATTGCTCTTTCGACAAGTTCAGATTCTAGCTTTCATCTTTGGGTCCAAACACATGTGTTTTAGGACATGTTTCATCTGGAGAAGTGACATGTGCATTGGCTATTACCCTCTTATTTTTGTTATACTTGAAGTTCTAACTGTGGCCCTGAGGATAACCATGAAGCTTGAAGTATTTGTCCTTAGTATGACCTAGGCGTTTGCAGTAATCACAGAATGGTATAGTTCTGTTAGTGTTTGGAAAGTTAGCATTGGGGGCATAATTGGTTACGAAGTTATTGTTTCCAAAATTATTGGCATTTCCTGAAGTGTTGACATGAAGGGAAACAGATCCTGCAGACAAATGATTTGTAGGTTTCATCTCTCGTTGCTTTTCATCTTGAATGAGCAGTGAAAAGGCTTGTGCCATTGAAGGCAGTGGATTCATCATGAGAATGTTACCCCTTACTTCTGTATAAACCTCATTCAATCCCATAAGGAATTGAATCAATCTCCTGTCCTGTTCTGCTTTGTGCATATTCTCCTTGGCACGACAAGTGCATTGACAGCTGCATTGTGTCTTTGCACTGAAGGTGCTTAGTTCTTCCCAAAGCTTCTTCAGCTGAGTATAGTAGGTAGTGATATCCAAAGTACCCTGGGATAAATCATTGATCTCCTTCTGAATTTGGTACAATCTTGCACCATTAGTCTGTTCATAATGATCTTCTAGTTCTCTCCATAGTTCAACTGCATCATTAGCATATTCTACACTATCTGCTATCTCCTTTGATAGTGAATTAAGAATCCAAGAAGTCACCATATCATCACAACGTTCCCATTGCCAAAATTTAGGTGACTGAGGATCAGGTTGTTTTCACTCTCCACTAATAAATCCAGTCTTACTTTTTGACAGATAAACCACGCAAAACAGCACGTCGCCATGATCTATATCCAATTCTACTAAAGGCTACGTTGACTAACATAGCTCCAGGATTGTCTGAAGGATGTAAGTAGAGAGGATCACTAGGATCAATTACAGAATTAGGAACAACTTCGACATTTGGAGTAGTACTGGTTCCATCGCTTTGATCGGTAACAACCACATTTATTTTTGAAGAAATACGCAGTCGAAAATGGAAGAAAACTAGATCGAGGGCAAAATTAGGTACTTACACAGTATGAACTGAAAAGAATTTAGAACAAAATTGAGAACTCCTTCGGACTGAGGGATGACTGGTACGAGTGGATCGAAGGTCTCTGTGCTCTGATACCATGTCAATTTACGCCATAAGCGGATGAGTTGTTGTTCTCCATTAGAGAGTTATAGAAGCTTCGATTGAGAACGGAGAAGAGGATTGATTTCAGAGATGAAGAAATGAACTTCTCGTCTTTGTATTGCTGCATACCAGTACATATATACACACGAGTATAAGACAACAAAGTTTATCATTAAGAATAAAATTAAATAATTTTTAAATATACAAAAAATGTGTCGTATAAAGCATGTCATTTTTTTAAAAATAGAGTAATACGGAAAAAGTGCCTCATAAAATATAGTAAATAGAGTATTTTTAATTGCAACAAAAAGTCACTTCCTACAATAACAAATCTAGGAAAGCTAAATATCAAATGGAAATTAGTGTTTAACTTATGCTCATGGATAGTGCATTGAAATTTTATATTACTAGTATAATTTACTTACACGTCTTATTTTTCGTATTGCTAATTCCATTAATTATGATTAATACTTATAATTTCGTTCGAGTGTGGTCTGCTGGTATATAAAAATTTACGTCGTCAATGTATGCAAAATAAACTCATGAAAATTAATGATCCAATAAAATCTGATTTTAATATTCATAAGCATACACAAGCCTTCAGGTTTCATCTACTCAACATCTCCAAAACAGCAAATACATCAGCAAGAACCTTTCCTTTCTCTCAACTTTTTCCTTTTAATCCATTTATCAGAGTAACAAAGTGCGTGAGTCTCAAACGTCATGAAATGGCAAAAGAAGCCCACCAGTATGTGACACATGGAAACAATAATCATTAATGCTAAAAATCTATGTTATTTACATAATTACATTACTATATTATTTGAACTCAAAATGATCTATCACCATTTGAATATGCAAAAATGATCAAATTAATTAGGAAGGAGGCAAAGTTAGCAGTTACGGTGGCTAAGACTGCAGCATTTAGTCGTTTATATGAAGAACTTGAGGGCAAAGGCGGGGATAAGAGGCTGTTTAGGCTAGCCAAGGTGAAAGAGAGAAAGGCCCGTGACTTGGACCAAGTGAAGTGCACCAAAGACAAAGAAGGTATAGTTTTGTTGGATGAGGCACATATCCGTCAGAGATGACAGACTTACTTCCATAGTCTCTTGAACGAGAAGGGGGACAGAGACATTGTTCTGGGTGATTTTGGGATCCTCCGAGAGTCGATGTGACTTTGGGTATTGCAGGCGGATTAGAATTGAGAAGGTTATTGGGGGCTATACGTAAGATAAACTGGGACAGAGCGACCGGGCCAAATGAAATTCCGGTGGAGTTTTAGAAGAGTGTGGGCATGACGGGCTTGGAGTGACTTACTAGGTTATTTAATATCATTTTTAGGAAGAAAAAGATGTCTGAAGAGTGGAGATGGAGTACGATGGTTCCTTTGTACAAGAATAAAAGTGATATCCAAAATTGCAACAACCATCGGGGTATTAAGCTACTTAGTCATACTATGAAGGCGTGGGAGAGGGTGATGGAGCTAAGGGTCAGGAGAAGGTTGTCTATTTCCGAGAAATAGTTTGGGTTTTTGGCGGGGCGTTTGACTACGGAAGCCATTCAACTTGTTAAGAGATTAAAGGAACAATATAGGGAGAGGAGGAGGGATTTGCATATGGTGTTCATCGATTTAGAAAAGGCTTACGATAAAGTCCCGATGGAGGTTCTGTGGAGATGCTTGGAGCCTAGAGGCGTACCTGTGGCCTACATTAGGGTCATTAAAGACATGTATGATAGAGCTAAGACCTAAGTGAGGATAGTGGGAGGGGTCTCGGACCATTCCCGGTCATGATGGGGTTGCATCAGGGGTGGGCACTCAGCCATTTTTTGTTTGCCCTAGCGATGGACTTACTAACTCGCCATATCCAAGGGGAGTGCCGTGGTGCATATTATTTGCGAATGATATTGCTTTGATTGATGATACGCGAGACGATGTTAACGAGAGATTAGAGGTGTGGAGATAGACCCTGGAGTCTAAAGGTTTCAAGCTGAGCAGAACCAAGACAGAATACTTGGAGTGTAAGTTTAGTGGTGCTACTCTGGGAGTGGAAGAGGAGGTGAGGCTGGATTCACAAGTCATTCCTAGGAGGGGAAGTTTTAAGTACCTTGGGTCTATTATACAGGGGGATGGGAAGATTGATGAAGATGTGACACATCGTATTGGGGCGGGATGGATGAAATAGAGACTTGCTTCCGGTGTATTGTGTGACAAAAAGGTACCACCAAAACCTAAAGGTATGTTTTATAGATTGGTGGTCAGACCGGCTATGTTGTATGGGGCTGAGTGTTGGCCAGTCAAGAGCTCTCACGTCTAGAAGATGAAGGTAGCAGAGATGATGATATTGAGATGGATGTACGTGTACACCAGGTTAGATAGGATTAGGAATGACGTGATTCGGGACAAGGTGGGTGTGGTCCCTATTGAGGACAAGATGCGGGAAGCACGACTTAGATGATTTGGACATGTGAGGAGGATAAGCACAAACGCCCCGGTAAGGAGGTGTGAGAGATTGACATTGGAGGGCCTTACGAGAGGTAGAGGTAGGCCGAAGAAGAGTTGTGGTGAGGTGATTAGGCATGACATGACGCAACTACAGCTGACCAAGGACATGACCCCTGATAGGAAGGTATGGAGGTCGAAGATTAAGATAGTAGGTTAGGTAGTCTAGATTATTCATACCGGTAGTGTTACTACATACTCTCGCATTTGGTCGGTAGTAGGCTTCTTTGAACACCTGTCATTTTTTGCATTTCAATCATCTTACTATCTTGTTATGTATCCTGCTTTTACATGGGTTTTCGGTGTTGTCCCGTGTTGTTTTCTTGTTATTATTGTGGTAGCTATGCTTGCCTGAGTCAATGGTCTATCGGAAACAGCTTCTCTACCTCTACAAGGCAAGGGTAAACTCTGCGTACACACTATCCTCCCCGGACCCCACTATATGGGAATATACTGCATATGTTGTTGTTATTGTTGTTGTATAACATATGTACTTATTTTTTTAGAAATGGAGTATGTGACGTTATCGTATCTTACTTAAAACTTCTTTACATAATAAAAATGAACTTAAATTGCTCGTTAAAATTAGTACTCCCTCCGTCTCAATTTATGTGAAATTTTTTGGATTTCGAAAGGCAAATAAATTTTTTATTGATCGTTATTTTTTCTTATGCCTTTTAGATTATAATTCTTGTGACTTATAGTATTCTTTTTATATAATTTTTAAATTTATAGTAAATTTTATTTATAAAAACTAAAAGATTATATGTCCAAGTTCAATCAAATTCAAGAAATTGATCCTTGATGTTTGAACTATGCCACAGTAGCAATACTATTATTATGATATGATAAATAAAAGGAGGCTCATATTTGAATCTTTTGAACCCCAAAGAATAAGTAGTCGGCATTTCGGCAAGTGATTCAAAGGTCAAACATTTATTTTTTATTTTTTTATTTTACTTTGCTATAAATATTGACAAACTAATCTCCTCTTTATAATCTCCCTCTTCACTCTTTCTTTTCCACCCAATTCGCTTCCGTGATTTCTTCCATATATTGTTCTTTTCCCATAGATTTATCTTTAAAGATCTAAAATGGCTTCTCTACAAAAGTCGACACTAGATTTGACAAGTCAGCATTTTCTTGATGGTGTTGATTTTTGGGAAAATTTCCTCACATCAGAAACCAACACTAGTTCTGATTTAAATAGCTTTAAATTCGAGGCAAAAGCACCTCGTATAAGTTCAAATTCCCGGAAATTCAGTTCAAAAACAGAGGATTCAGTTCAGAAAATGGTAGATACCTTGAAGGCGAAGTGTTACAGAGGGATCAGGCAAAGGCCAGGGGGGAAATTTGTTGCAGAGGTTAGTGACCCGACCCGAAAAGGGAAACGGGTTTGGCTAGGAACTTATAAAACTGCAATAGATGCAGCCATGGCATATGATAGTGCAGCGTTTAGGCTAAGAGGGAGCAGAGCAATTTTGAATTTCCCTCATCTATTTATGGTAATTCTTGTTTCTATCTATGTGAAAACCTTTTCTTTTTAATAATCCGATAATAAATAAATATATTTTTATATTTAAAAATAATCAGTTTAATATCTTTATTATATTTTTAATGACATATATCTTAAAAATCACTTTCATTTTTTTTTCAAATTTTAGAATTCATGCGGAGTCAAATAATTCATGAGAAACTACATGGCTAAATTGATGGATTTTTATACTTTCGTGTGTTATAGTCCATGCATGAATTCAAGCGACCGGATCGGTAACGCCTAAAATTTTGCGGGCTAATACTGATTTAATTTCAATCATAGGAAATGGAATTCAGATTGTCTGAGATAAATGGCATTTTTTACCCATAGGAAAACGATTCACAGCGTTCAGAGAACAATGGTACTGCACTGTTTGTTCCTTCTTGCTCTTCACATAGGCACGACTTACTCAACAATGAAGGGCTAGAGCAAGTTGATTTATTACTTCCGCATGCAACAGAGGCAACTGTGATGAACACAGGAAGTATGGTTAACGCGAATGTAGCACATGATTTTTGCAACGACGGAGGAGAAACAGTGCAGCCCGATTTACGTTGTGAGAAATCAAATGTAGAAATTGATTCAAGTAGTAATGACAAAGTGGAGCATAATGATATTGCTGGAGGAAGTTCATCATGTGAAAGACTTTTGGTTGAAGCTGATGCAATGACCAACATTCAGAACATAGATTCAAAGAACAAGTGCACAATAGCGAGGCTAGAAAAAGATTATGGGATTACTCGCGAGATTCTAGAACAGCATTTTGGGAAGACTCTTGTAGATGCTGCCAAGACACTACGTGGTAAGTTCACTCTAGTGCATATATTTGAGGCTTGTATCTCTTTCATGTTATTAAAACTTGCTCCTTTTTAGTTTATCTGAACCTTTTCGCTATTCGAGATTCAAACTATGTAAAATTTGACCGACATTCTGAAAATTTGTTTTTTCATCATATTAACATGAAAAAAATTGTAACTTATTGTAGCTTGTGTATAGATTTTGAATATCTGAATATTAATTTTAAAATATCGAGTTAACATAATCCAAAAGTGATTAGGTCCACATAAATTGGAATGGAGATCAGTGTGTTTGTATGCCCTTTAATTAGATGAGATAAGCGTTGCTTAGGTTCACTGAAATCCGTTTTTGGAACTTGTTTTTTGCAGTTAGTCGATCAACACTGAAACGAGTATGTAGAGAATACAATATCTCTAGGTGGCCACATCATAAGACCAGAAAGGTTTATCACCGCGTTAGCCAAGGTGTATCTCTACAAAGTGCTGAACCATATGTGGAAGATATTCAACAACGTCCTGATCTGTCCCAGAAAAAAGGCACAGATCTTTTGGCGCATAAAAAATCGCCTGCAGCAGAAAAACGTTGTGATAATCTGATGACTTTAAAGGTTACATATAGAGGCGATATCATTAAGTTTCAACTCTCCCCTTCAGCAACCAGGGTAGAACTGGAGGTGGAAGTGGAAAAGAGGTTTAACATATCACTTCAAAAGTGTTCAATCAAGTATCAAGATGACGACGACGATTGGATTTTGATAACTAGTAATTCAGATTTGAGGGACGGTATGAATTCATTGAGATTGTTAGGAAGAACTACTATGAAATTACTGGTTACCCCAATATCTGAGACATGAATTTTCCCTAAGTTATTATGGTTCATCTTTATTGCAGAACTTTAGAGTGTTGTTTCTTTGCCAGTGATATTTGTTGTATGTCTTTGAGCTCATTACAAATAATAGAGAAGTCTAATTTGACAACCCTTTTGGACTGTTTAATATCAGTTGCTTCAGAAAAAAATGATTTAAGTGCCACTACTGGCATTTGTATATAAACTTTTTTACAATCGTTGAACCAAGTAACTGTCACCCTTTGGGGTGGGGTCCTTCACCGAACTCTGTGCGAATGCTGGATGCTTTGTGAACCGAGCTGGCTTTTTTTTTTTCTTGTTGGTATTGAGAGATATTGGGATAGAAATTATTGGAGTTCAGGATTATCCTTAACTTCGAGTTTATTGTAGTGTAAATTGACAGATAAATTACTTTGATCAGTAAATTTCGAGTCTACTATAACATGTGTTTCAGCCATAATAGTTCTTGTGTAGTACAGTAGATAATTGTTTATCAGTATTTATGGACACTATTGGTATCAAGATTTCTATAGATAAATAAGTAGGTTAGCTCTTTCGAAACCTTTAATTAATTTTGTACTTCCAAATATTTTCCACAATACAGGTGTGCCCGTATGTTAGGATCGAAAAAGTCAGGTGTCATGCGGAAGCTAGTAAAGCAAACGTTGAACGATGATAAACCACACATAACAAAGAGAAATTTGCCAAAAGAGACACAAACATTTAACGTGGTTCGGTCAACTGACCTACGTTCACGGCGGAGATGAGCAATCCACTATAATAAAAGAGAGTACAAAACATCGAGAGAACAACCTCAAGAAGAGACAAACACAAGTGACACACTAACACTTGTCCCGTAAAGTTCTCCCCCTAGACACGACCCTCAAGCCCCCTATGGCTACATTGTGGATGTTACTGAATGTGAAGGAAGGATCCTCAATTTATAGAAGTCCAAACCTTTTCCTACAAGAAAAAGGACACCAAATATTGGAGATTTATAATTTCCTTTTACAAAAAGGAAAACCAGTTAAGGTAATTATATTGCCCTTTTCCTTCAAGAGATAAGAAAACCAAATATGGTAAGAAAATTATGGCAAACACCTAACAATTTATAGAAGTCCAAACCTTTTCCTACAAGAAAAAGGACTAGCCAAATATTGGAGATTTATAATTTCCTTTTACAAAAAGGAAAACCAGTTAAGGTAATTATATTGCCCTTTTCCTTCAAGAGATAAGAAAACCAAATATGGTAAGAAAATTATGGCAAACACCTAACAATTCTCCCCCTTGGCCTGAATTTTCTGACAAAATAAACTTGATCCACCTTCTTCACATAGCCTTCAACAGGTCGCATCTCCAGATCTCCGCCACAAAGTTTGTCTCAACGTGCGTAGCACTCCGGTTAAATTTCTCAGACAAAAAATTACGATTATCGTCAAATATGTTGCAGCTAGAACTGAACACGCCAAGATGAACCTGTCTTGAACCTCGCTCTGATACCACTTGTTAGGATCGAAAAAGTCAGGTGTCATGCGGAAGCTAGTAAAGCAAACGTTGAACGACGATAAACCACACATAACAAAGAGAAATCTGCCAAAAGAGACACAAATATTTAACGTGGTTCGGTCAACTGACCTACGTCCACGGCGGAGATGAGCAATCCACTATAATAAAAGAGAGTACAAAACATCGAGAGAACAACCTCACGAAGAGGCAAACACAAGTGACACACTAACACTTGTCCCGTAAAGTTCTCCCCCTAGACAGGACCCTCAAGCTCCCTATGGCTACATTGTGGATGCTACTGAATGTGAAGGAAGAATCCTCAATTTATAGAAGTCCAAACCTTTTCCTACAAGAAAAAGGACTAGCCAAATATTGGAGATTTATAATTTCCTTTTACAAAAAGGAAAACCAGTTAAGGTAATTATATTGCCCTTTTCCTTCAAGAGATAAGAAAACCAAATATGGTAAGAAAATTATGGCAAACACCTAACACCGTATACATATGAGTTTCAGTATTCTCTGTCTTTCAGTGTTGCTTTATAAAGCACACTAGGGTAGTGAAAGACTGAACATAGGCGGTTGTTATGTGAGTGTGTGTAATATAAATCTGGTAAATAGGAAAGTACTTGAAGAGCATGAGCATACTTCTGTTAAGCCGACGTATTTTGGTAGGGGTGTGCGTTCGATTTTCGGTTCAAATTCGGTTTTGGTTTTAGAGAAGTGCAATCCACAAAATAACTTTGATTTGGTTCGATTTTTCTCTTTCCGGTTAAATTTTTTTCAGTTTGGTTATTCGGTTATGCCATATAAGATAATTAACATAATCGAATATTTGTATTTTATGGTGAGAAAATAAAAATACTTTATGGAGCAAGTCCTAGATGAGCTAGGATTCCCTAGGAAGTTTACTTTATGGATCCTAGAGTGTGTTAAGACAGTGAACTACTCTATTATGGTGAATGGAGAACCTACAGCTCCTTTTAATGCAGCTAAAGGACTCAGGCAGGGGGACCCAATTTCTCCATTTCTCTTTGCAATAGCCATGGAATATCTTAGTAGGAACCTTAATGCTGTGAAAGGAAGCAAAGAATTCAAGTACCACCCAAAGTGTTCTAAGTTATCTCTGACTCATTTGTCTTTTGCACATGACTTATTACTATTCTCTAGAGGAGATGCTGAATCTGTGGCTACTCTACATAGATGTTTCAAAGAATTCTCAGATGCATCAGGCCTTCAAGCCAACAAAGAAAAAAACTCCATTTATTTTGGAGGGGTTGCTCAAGGGATGTAGGATCAAATCCTAAAGTTCTTAGGATTCCTTAAAGGAGAGCTTCCCTTCAGATATCTGGGGATACCTCTAGCTACAAAAAAAATCTCATTAATCCAGTGGCAACCATTGATTAACAAGATGGTATCTAGAATCACTTGTTGGACTGCCAAGAAGCTGTCATATGCAGGAAGAGCTCAGTTAATTCAAACTGTCCTCTTTGGTATCCAAGCTTACTGGTCCCAATTGTTTGTTATCCCCTCTAAAGTGCTAAGTACAATTGAGGCCTATTGTCGAAGCTATCTGTGGTCGGGAACAAACACAATCACTAGGAAGGCTCTACTAGCTTGGGAGAAGATTTGCACACCAAAGTCAATGGGTGGACTAGGCTTGATAAACATGAGATTTTGGAATAAAGCTGCAATAACTAAAGCTAGTTGGGACATTGAACATAAGATAGACAGGCTATGGATCAGATGGTTGCATGCATATTATATCAAGAATCAGCAATTTTGTCAAATGGCTATTCCTCTACAGGCTGGTTGGATGGTAAGGAAAATGTTTGAGGCTAGAAATACATTAGCACTGATTCAAAACAACACTGCTGGTAGTTTGATTAAGCAGATATATCTTTAGTTAATTGGGAACAATGAGAGAATTTCATGGAAGACATTGAGATTTGGAAATAATGCTCGTCCAAAAGCTCAGTTTACAGTATGGCTACAGATGCAGGGTAGACTTCTGACTGTGGATAGAATTGACTCCTGGGGTGTAAATGTGGATCATGTCTGCAATCTATGCAATAGTCAAAATGAAACGAGAAACCATATTTTCATGGATTGTCCTTACTCTGTCAAAGTCCGGGAAGGTGTGCTAAAATGGATGAAGGTTCCTAGTTTCAGGACAACACAATGGGAACAACTGGAGAATTGGATCATTCAAAGAGCAAAGGGTAAATCACAGAGAGCTCAGGTATTCAAAATGGAATATACAGAATGGGTGCATACAATGTGGATTGAAAGGAATCAACGCAAATTTGAAAAGAGATCAAGGAGTGCACATCAACTGGTGAGGGAAATTGCATATGTGTGTAATATCTGTGCACCTACTAGAATTAAAGAAATGGTCCAGCAGCTTAGTATTTAGTTAGTTCTAGTAGTAAGTATTTCTTAGTTGCTTAATTAGATAACAGACTGTGATGTAGTCGTGCTATGGTTCATCATTTGTAAATATTCTGGTGATTAATAAAAAATTTAATTACCAAAAAAAAAAATTATAGAGAATGAGAAGTAATAATATTAAATTTCTTAAATATAATTTTTAATATTAGTAATGGATAAAACTTTAAAACATAATATTTAAAAATAGCATGTCCAAACATAAAAATTCAAGATCTAAATCGTAATTTCAATTCAAAGGAGAATAATTCGTGCTTGAAAATATTAAAACCTGAACAAACATAGCAAAATGGCCTCCTGGCCACTTAAATTTGTACCTAATTGTCAACCTGGTAAACAAACTTAAAATTTTCTTATTTGAACACCTCAACTTGACGGAATGAATATTAATAAACAACTTTGATCGTTGACTATGCTTATGGCAGTGACATAGATAATGTGGACAAAATGTGTGCCAATCACGCAGAAAATGCGCGTGAGCACAATATTTTAATTTAAAAAAAAATACTAAAATCAAAAGAAAAAATTTAAAAAATGAAAAAGAAAAGGGAAAAAGCACCCCGTTGCCCATCACTACTCGCCTCTCCCCTCTTTCTTCTTTTCACCATTAGCCTCTCCCCAGTTAGCTCCCGTCAGTCCACGTAAAGAACTAAAAAAGTATATGTGACCATTTGAGTTTTTGTCTCGTCATCTTTCTCTAAAAATAAGTAATTACAACAAAGGTAGCAGCCATTTTTATTTGTTAGAGAGAGCTAAAATTAAAGTAAATGCATGAAATAAAATTAGTCGCATATTTTTAAATATTTAAAGAAAGAAAAGGCATGAAATAGAATTAGTCGCATAATCAAAATAAATTAAAGAAGGTATTTTTACTTTATTAATCATACTTGATAGGGTAGGTAAATAAATGGTATTCAACAATCTATATGGTTTCCTTACATATTACCCTTCATAAATACTTTCACCCAATAAATTACTGGGAAAATTGACATTTGATTTGTAAATTGACCTTGGTTGCCAACCGTCTGGAATGACATTCGGGGCAGTGACACTTTGCTTTGTTTCTGAAGTAAGTCTCAGGGAAAATGGAGGTTTCTGTGTGTCTGGTTATATGCCAACACTCCAAGTTGCCCCAATCATTCGCTGCATAGGTACCCAAGTCGAATTGCTTGTTTGGATTTCAACTAAAGAAAGGTCACCATCTCCACTACTGCTTCAGATGTAACTGCGAAGAAATTAGGATTGGAGCCTTTGCCCACCTTAAATAAGATATTTGTGTTGTAGTACATGCTACCCTGTAAGGTTCAACAAAAATAAAAGAAATTAAATCGTTAGCGGGTGTTCCTCAGAAGGAAAATAAGGAAAAAAAATAATTTATTGCTTCCTATTCCTCCTCCACCCCCCCCCCCCCTCCCCACCCCAAATAAATAGATATAAAACCTCCGTATAAGATGGACCAAAAAAAGTAACTTTTGGTTTTTGTAGAACAAACTCACCTTTGGTAAAAAATCGAGATTCTTCCTGCATTGTATAATTGTGAAGCTTCACCAGACTTTGCCAATTTTCCAAAGGCAATTCCACTTATATCGAAGTGAACCGGATCATTATTGTATACTCCTGGGCACTCGTCTGTAAGTGTTACTGTTATTGAATTACCTGAACAATGCGGATTTTGGTCTTGGGTACACAACACCTGAAAAACATGTCGATCATATAGAGAAAAATATTCATGCACATTCTCTCTTTTGTTTTAGAGTTTAATTTCCTTGTCATCTCATGCAAAATAAGGTACAATTATTCTAAAATTACAGATTTACTAAATGTAACGGAATTAGAAATTATGTCTAGTGGATTCAGAGAGATCTAAAAATATTACATTCGGAATTTGTACCTATATTTTCTCTTATAAGGAGATTTAAAATTTTATATATTTTATACTTCTTTACCCTTATATATATATATATATATATATAACACCCAATTTACGTTCTCTACCCCCTCAAGTAGGGATAAGGTCTGTATACACACTACCCTCCCCAGATCCCACTTATGAGAGTTTACTGAGTTGTTGTTGTTGTTTTACCCAATTTACGTTATGTAACTTTCTAACAAAGGAAATTCAATGCCACATAAAATGTGTTTACCTGGTAGCATGCACCACATCCAGAGCCTTGCTTAAAAAGAGCTTGATTTCCCGCAGTGATCATTGCATTATAGGGAGCACTTGCTACGTCATTTTCGAGCCCACATGCTCCACCTAGAACAATATAGTAAGAATAATTTCTGTTTTTCAATCATTTTGCCCTAGAATCATTAATAAAGTATGTAAAATCAAGACTATATTGGTCAAGCCATTTCGATGAACATTTGTCTACAAAATTCTATTCGTATAAATTTTTTTATTATGTAGGGGAAGGAAAGAGAAAATTGATAAAGGTATTACAAGAGAAAATCAAACCCTCACCAACAAAGTGAACTTCAGATAGCTAGACAACAACTGAACTATTAAAATTTACCTTCAAAGTTGTATTTGAAATCTAAAGCAGGTTTCATTTAATTTTAATCTAGTAGGCGTACTACATAAGTCTTATGAAAAAAGAGAGTAGAAACAAATGACATTTCAAGACATTACCACTCCCAGGACTAGTAGGATTTTCATAAAAGGTTGCAACAGCTTGTGAATAACCGCTTGGTTGGCAAGAGGAAAATCAAACCAAATACGAGCAAAAAGCTACAAAAATCCAAAGGAAAAGACACTGAGAGAAATTTGTAGCCATGAACTAGTAATTATATTTGATTAACTAAGTGATGCTCTAATAACTTTTTGCTAATTGCTTATGCATTGCCAAGTTAATTGGTACTATTTATAGTTAATAATAAGTATTAGTTAGTTGAGGATATTATCTATGAATAGTGAACCATTTTATCAAAGTTGAGAATATTAACTATGAATAATGAACCATTTTGCCAAAGTAGAGGATATTAATTATGAAAAATGAACTATTTTACCAATTTAATGTAAGAACTTTATTGCCTCACCATTCAATTTGCAGATTTGTATTGCAGGATTATAAAGCAGGCGATTGAAAGATTACTACATCTCATGATCATGATTGTCATCATCCCTTTAATTCTTTTATTTCTCTTTGCCATATGCCAACTAGACACCATAAGATCGAGGTCTCTACTATCACAGAACAAGAGGCATGTAGTAAACATATCCAAATGCACAATAAATAACCATAAGTTGAGAATATCTGTCAAGACCCAAAATTCACGAGTCATGATGGCACCTAATCCAACCCGCTAGGTAAGCCAACTAATAACTATCCAATTCCACTAATATTAATAAGATAATTAAATAAAAGGAATTATCTAACTCTTATACATTCCCTAAGGACTGGTAGTACAAATCATGAGCTTCTAAGAATAGGATTTACAAAGCTGATATGAAGTAAATACATCTTCTGTTTGAAAAGTACATAAACAGGGTTTTTATAAATTTAAGGCTACCATGAACAAGAGGCAGCTACAACAGGAACACAAGTACATCTTCAAATCCGGCAACCATCGAGCACAGCAGCAACAACAGCCAACGTCTGCATGTAATGTGTAGAAGTGTAGTATCAGTACAACCGACCCCATGTACTGAGTAAGTAACAAACATAACCTTAGGTTGAAAGCAGTGACGAGCTAGAACATAGGTCGGGTCCAACACCAATAGCCAACAACAGTTCATAACAACATAAAGCAATTAAATAAATAAGTAACTCAGAGAAAAAGTGCTCAGCTTTTTCATAGTTTTCCGAAACAGATATGCTTTTCAAGTATATCAGTGAAAACCCAACTCCTTTACCGAAAACATCAAAAATACAAGTAAGTTTGAAAACTGTGAGTTTTTCCCAAAAATCCTTTCAACAGTAAATATGATGTTTCATTTTCTCCCCAGATAGCAAGTGCAAAATACCTCTCTATGCACATATGTCAATATATGTGAGAAGTCATGAATGACGTGATATCGTACGACATGAGGAAAATACATTTCTATACCGATATGCCATGTGCATGTCAAATGCGATACGACTCAGTAATAAAACCATATGCATACTCTCAGAGTATCAATTCACTCAGTCCTCCCAGTCACTCGGTCCTCACAGTCACTCAGTCCTCAGAGCCACTCAGTCCTCACAATCACTCTATCCTCCCAATCACTCGGCACTCGGCACTCAGAAGGAACCTGCGCTCACTGGGGGTGTGTACAGACTCCACAGGGACTCCTTCAGCCCAAGCGCTATAACAAGCCAATCATGGCATATATCACTAAAACATGATGCGGCGTGCAGCCCGATCCCATATATATATCCTCACCATCAAGCCCTCGGCCTCACTCAGTCATCAATCTCTCCAATCTCTCGAGCTCTCAATGTTATGAAATATCAGCCCAAAAATAATGATGTGTTGTATCAATAAATAGTAATAGAGACTGAGATATGATATGCATATGAATGCGTATGACTGAGTATATAATGCAATGAAAGCAGATAGCTCAACAGCAGAAATGACCTCAGTGGGTTACAAATTGAACATTCCATAAGCTTCTAGAGACCGGCGCCTGGGTACGGCAATTGAGGTTGCTCCTGCTATAATTCAAGGGCCCATCAGCAGAAATGTCTCGAGGAGTAGTTAAACGGGCAGGAGATAATAACAGAATAATTGTGTGCACTGGTGGACCTTATACTTATGTACCCGGGCTAGCGCCCTCTCTCTCTAGCAGAATGCTATCTGTTATAAAACTAGCGTTCGCCTTCTATGAGTAAAATCCATTCTCTAGCGGATTCCCATATGCTGAGATAGTCCGATTAATCCAGATGATAAGGGAATGACTGATGAGACTACCGATACCTTTTATCGAGTAAGTCATACCGAGCTTGGTGAAAGATAAAAAATGGTACTAGCTAAAGAGAAGGATCAGAGAAATTTCTTTAAACTCTCATACAAAGGGGAAAAAAGCTACGGTTGAAAGATCACTGGGTTTAGGAGGAGGCTAGGTTAGCCGAAAGATGGTTATCGGTTCAAGAACGTAAGAGTTGGATAAGCATGTAGCCTAGACATGGATTCTAGCATGGATCACAGCTCAATAGCTCAAGTACTTAGAAATTTCATGGTTACAGGTAAGATCAGATAACTACACAGTACCACAGAAACAACGGAGTCACAATTCACACGGTGCACGCCCGCACGTCCGTCACCTAGCATGTGCGTCACCTCAACACCGATCACATAGCACATAATTCGGGGTTTCACACCCTCAGCACTAAGTTTAGAAGAGTTACTTACCTCGAACAAGCCAATTCCAATACTGAGCAAGCCAACCGATGCTCCATGCGTGCTACTAGTCCTACGGGTAAGAAAAGGAAAAACTCTCAACTACCTACTAACCTTCTACCCTAATACTCGACCTCCACAACCTCCTATCAAGGGTCATGTCACGCCATGTCCTGCCTAATTACCTCTCCCTAGTACTTCTTGAGTCTGCCTCGACCTCTTCTCAAACCCGTCATGTTCAACCTCTCACACCTCCTAACAGGAGCGTCAATGCTTCTCCTCATCATAACACAGCCACGTCATAATTTCTTTTTAACATTATTTATACGTTTGAACTGAAGACTAAAAGGTGGTCAAGTCTGATACCACATAATATTATTATGACAGATGGCGAAGAAAAGAACAGAGGGTGGAAAATCAATCTCCGTCGTCCTACCGGATAAATTACCATTGGCAGAAAGTTACTAGCAATTCTTGTCAGAAGATCAGTATTGAGAACTTGACTTGAGTATTAAATGGAGTGATAGTCCTGGATTAAAATGGCCCTCGCCTAGAAGCATCGACATGCATTGTAAAAGGTTGTAACGAAAACTTCCCTAGATTCTCTAATGTTGGTATGTAAAGGCCAACTCATCGTTGCACTTATTTTAGAAGGATCAGTATGCATCACCTGATATGACCAAGATACTATCAACCTGGTTCTGTGCAAATGAACACTTGGATTTTTTTACAAATACATGGTAGTCCCCGACTCAGTAACTTAAGAACTGTATCTATCCACCAAATGTTGATGTAGTGTAACACTGTATATAAGTAATGTTGAAGGCCGATTTGTGGTCGAAATTGGATGTTGGACTCGTATCGGAATGGGTGTTCAGAATTTGTGAATTTGATTGGGTTGTGGGGTGCGGGCCCGGGGTTGACTTTTTGATTTTACTTAAAGAAGCTTTATTATTCGGATTCGTTTCCTATAGCTTTTATTTATGATATTAAGTTATTTTGGCTAGATTCAAGCCGTCCGGAGGTTGATTAACGCGTGAAAGGCTTACTAGATGATTGATTTAGCTAACTTTACGTGGAGGAAACTTTTCCTGACGTGTACATGAGGTGACGAGTGTGTGCACGGGCGTATGTGTGGTAATTGACTTGATTAAGCCTTAGGCTATTAATATTTAATTTGGAGTTGTTTGCTATATGAAACATATTTTTATTTTGTTGTTCACTCCCCATACCCTTATATTATTGTGATAATTCTTGTGCACATTGTTGTTGAGCCATGGCTATATCTTGTTGTGGCATTGGTATTGGTATTGTGGTGATATTGTGGCACATGTGTACGTGAGGTGCGGGTGGTTATTATAGTTGTGTTGTGACTGAGATGTGCATACGGCGGAATAAGGTGGTGTGTATATTGATGCGCGTGCGGTGAGATAAAGGGGGTTTATGCGTGTGTTGCTAATATGGAGAAATACTTCATTGTGAAGCACACGCGGCGAGATGGAGGGGCTTATGCTCGTGAAGCTGTTTCGGGAAAATATTTTAAAATGTGAAGCTTACACGATGTCGTAGGGATGATTTGTGATTTCTGACTTGTGATTTATGATTATGAAGTGTGCTACCTCGGGGTGATTATTGTTGTAAATCTTGTGTTGGAACGGCTTGAGAATTTGAACGGTCATTGTTTTTCATTAATCACTTGTACTTTAACTGTGTTAGGGTTAATTTGTTGTGTTATCACATGTTTACTCTTTGTTGTCATTTATTGATTTCGCTTCTCGTTGTTAGCTTTATATTGATATTCTGCACAGGTTTTATGTTTAGTGAGTGTCTTGACTTGAACCTTGTCACTACTCCACCGAGGTTAGTCTTGATACTTACTGGGTACCGATTGTGGTGTACTCATACTACGCTTCTGCATATTTTTGTGCAGATCCAAGTACCTCGGATCGAGCCGGTCGCTAGTGTGTTGAGCCAGATATTGAGGAGATTTCAAGGTATACCTGTTGTTCTCGCTCGCAGGCCACGGAGCCACCTTCTGCTGATTTTCTTACTACTGTTTTTTGCATTTCCAGACAGTATTGTATTTTGAGATTTCGCATGTACTCTCTGTAGAGCTTATGACTCTGTACTACTAGTTTTGAGATTTATTTGACTTTGTATTTCCGCTTTTGGTTATGTTAAAGCACTTTTCAACCTTCATAATTATTTAAATTGGTGTTTAGTTCTGTTGATCTTGCTATGTGGTAGGCTTACCTAGTCCTAGGAACTAGGTATCATTACGATCCTAAATGTGGGATTTTGGGGTCTGTGACACTGGTGAAGTTTAATTTTGGGAACAATAGTGCTCGACACATAGGAGAAAAGTTTTAGATTAATTAAGATGACCTATGCTTTTTAATTAGTAACAGTTCCTATTGTTGTAAATATTGTTCTAGCTATGTTGTATGTGGCTGTAGGGTCATCAATGACCATACTTCATTGGCAATTGTTCCCAATATCAGCACTGATGAAGCTGCTCTTCTAGCCTTGAAATCTCATATTTCTTCTTCTGATACATCTTAGCAACTAACTGGTCTTTTTCCAGCCCAGTGTGCAGCTGGATTGGAATCAGTTGCAGCTTTCGCCGCCGTAGAGTTGTAGCTTTAGACATTAGTAACAACACTCTCCGTGGAGAGTTGCCAGAAGAGTTGGCTCATATTTGCAAAGGCTGAAACTGGTTAATGTGACAGGCAATAATTTTACTGGTGCCATTCCATCATTTTTAAGTTTGTTACCAAATCTTCGCATTGTGCTCCTTTCAAGGAACCAGTTCTTCGGAGGAATCCCATCTTCTCTTTCCAACCTAACAAAGCTGGAAGTGTTGAGAACACAGAGAAATAATCCCTAGAGAAGTTGGCGATCTACGTTACATGACTTTTTTAGACCTGCAACATAACCATCTTACTGGCTCTATACCACCATCAATCTTTAACATTACAACAATACAAATTATTGCTCTTAGTCACAACAATCTTACCGGTAAGCTTCCAACAGCTATTGCGACCATCTTCCAAACCTGGAATTGCTTTACCTCTCAACTAACTACCTAGAGGGCGTCATTCCACCAAACATAGAAAAATGTGGAAAGCTTCAAATCTTGTCATTGTCTGTCAATCAGTTCATTGGAACTGTACCAAGAAATCTAGCTAACTTGACAGCATTTACAATATTAGATCTTCGAGACCTGCACTTAGAAGGTAGTATGATATTTCCTTACAAGGAGTCGGAAATTTTCTTCCTTCTCTCTCTCTCTCTCTCTCTCTCTCTCTCTCTCTCTCTCTCTCGCAAATTGGTTCTGATATATTTCCCACACTTGACAGGAAAGATACCAGTGGAGCTAGGTTATCTTACGAAACTCCAGGTGCTGTCATTATACAATAATGTGTTTACTGGTCCCGTACCTGCTAGCATTTTCAACATGTCAGAACTGCAGATCATAGGACTTGCAGGAAACAGGTTTTCAGGTACTCTACCTTCAGATTTAGGCCGTCGACTGCCCAACCTGGAAAAATTTTCTTGTTCAAGTAATCTTTTGAGCGGTTTTATCTCGTCTTCAATCTCAAATTCTTCAAGACTCATGGGACTTGATATCTCATGGAATAGTTCCACAGATCCAATTCCTGAATCACTTGGTAACTTAGAATATCTTGAGATTTTACACTTGGGGAGTAATAAGTTTTTCAGTGATTCAGCATTGAGCTTCCTTACATCACTCACAAACTGTAGGGAACTAAGAGTACTCAAATTTGATCGGAATCCGTTGGACAGTGTTTTTCCTTGCATCAGTTGGAAATTTTTCTGCTATGCAAATTTTTGAAGGACAGGGTTGTAAACTGAAGGGCGTCATTGCGGAAGAAATTGGTAATCTTACTGGAATGACAATGATGAGTCTGCAAAACAATGAGTTGGCTGGACATATTCCAAATACTATCCAAAGAATGTTGAACCTTCAAGAACAAGATAGAAGGACCCATACCAGATATTATCTGCAATTTAAAGAGTCTTGGTGCATTAGACTTATCAGGAAATCATTTTTCTGGTTCAGTGCCACCATGCTTAGGAAGTGTTACCAGTTTGAGGAAACTTTATCTAGCTAACAACAGGTTGAATTCAAGATTACCTGCAAGCTTAGGGAGCCTTCAACATCTCATAGAATTCAATGTTTCGTCCAATTTATTCAGTGGGCAAATTCCTCTAGAGATTGGAAATTTAAAGGCTGCAACACTCATCGATCTGTCAAAAAATGATTTTTCTCGTAAGATCCCCAACATCTTAGGGTACCTTGATCAAACTTTCTCTAGCACATAGTAACACCCCGTACATTCGGACTAGGTGTGGATGTGTTAAATGTGTATTAATATGATATTATAGACATATGAAGTCCTGGCGGGATGAGTATGGGTGAAAATAGTTGTTTTAGAATCAAGATGGAGAATGAGGTGCATAAGATTCGATAAAATCTACGAAGTTTACAAAGGGTCAGTCTTGCAGGAGGTTTAGCGAAAAACGTGTAAGGTATTTGGGAAAGCCCAAAAGATGAAAGTTGTAGGCTTTTGAAATAGCTTTCTAACGACATATTGTGGAGCCCAAACGGATCTCTGTGCAAGAATAAAGAATAATGTTGATTATAGCCATTTGAGACTTTAGAATTTATCTAGGAGTAAGAGAATGGGTTATTGGGTGTATAGACACCATTAATAAGGACTATGAAGCTTTATTCTCACCGAGTGTTTGATAAAATGCCTAAGTAACCAAAATATGAGTATTATTGCTAATATGGAATCCCTTTGACTTGTATTGATATAGATTAAAGTTGAAAGGGTTGGCGAATGTTGTATTACGCTCAAGAGCATGAAGTTAAGGTATGTGAGGCTAACTCTCTATGTTTGGGAACGTTAATGATTCTCCCTACATTATGTTTCTTTTACGACGTTACTAATTGCCTCAGAAATATTGTTTAGCCTAGTTCCTTGAATAGTTGTAGAACTTCTATTCTTTAGCTTCATAACTCGTTCATGACTTTCATTCTGAACGTTGTGAGCTCAGTACGTATTCAATATAGACTTGGGTTTGATGCCCCCGAGTCTTAGTATAGATTACTCAGTATGCCATAAACAGTTGAAGTTTCGGTGTTCATAATCAGTTCAAGAATACATGTCTCAGTCTAGTCCTATTCAGTATTCTAGTATTATGTAACTCGGTGTGATCCAGTATTCCAGTATCATGTAACTCAGTGTGATTCAGTATTTCACTATCATGTATTGCAGTATGATTCTCAGTTCCTGATTTTAAATCTCTGAATGTTGAACACCTGTATTTGGGCCTGAGGCCGCAGTTAATGCTTTATGCATCTTTGGGCCTGAGGCCGCAGTTAATGCTTTATGCATCTTTGGGCCTGAGGCCGCAGTTTATGATTTATGCATCTTTGGGCCTGAGGCCGCAGTTATGTATACGTATACTTGGGCCCGAGGCCGCAGTTGTGCACGTATATATATTGGGCCTGAGGCTGCAGTTTAATATTCAAATAAACAGGTTGTTCGTCATTTAGAAGAGGGAGTATTCATATCCTTACTTCCTTTGTTCAGTTCAATTATTAGTTATCATTTCAGTTATCAGTTATCAGTTATCATTTCAGTTTCAGTTTCAATAGTTATAATTTCAGTTATCAATTATCAATTATCAATTCTCAGTTATCAACTTAGTTTCAGTTTCAGCTTTTATAATTCTTTCTTTCAGTTGCTTTTTATACCAGTGCAATTCAAATGTACTGACGTCCCTTTTGCTCGGGGCCTGCATCTCACGATGCAGGTAATGATTTACAGGTTGACGATTCAGAGCGCTAGGATTCTCGTACCAGCTATTTGGTGATCCCCAGTTCTTTCGGCGCATTATCATTACCTTACAGTCTTCAGTATTGGCAGACAGTCAGTGTTTTCAGTACTTCATTAGAGGCTTCATAGACTAGAGTAACAGCTAGACAGGGTCGCAGGCTTTTCATATTAAGCTATGTTGGCTACAAATATATTTCAAAATTGTATTAGTATTTCTGCACTTTGATTTATATCATCCAGACTTTTAGTATATCAGCATGTGTTAATTTATCTTCCGCATTCAGTATGTTATGATATCACATGTTGATTCAGCCAGCCAGTTGGTTCGCTCGGTCGCATGTTGTCAAGCACCGGGTGTCGTGTTACGTCCAGGCCCAGGTTCGGGACGTGACACACATAATAGATTAGACGGGCCTATCCCGGATTCATTTGGCAAAATGCTGGCCTTGGAATACTTGGATTTGTGCAATAACAATCTTAGTGGTGAAATTCCAAAGTCATTAGAAGCTCTTGTGTATCTGAAATACTTGAATTTCTCATTTAATAAACTCAGTGGAGAGATTCCCACTTGAGGTCCTTTCGCAAATTTCACAAGTCATTCTTTCTTGTCCAGTAATGCTCTGTGTGGTGATTCTAAGTTTCATGTGTCACCAAATCTACCAAGAGGTCAAAGAGGAAGAAGACAATCTTGGTTTTGTACATCCCTTTGGGAGTGGGCCTGCTTTTTCTTGCATATGTATTTTTAAGATTGCGAACGAAAAAGAAGAATGCAGGTCAAGCAGATGTGTCTCTGGTAAAAGGGCATGAAAGAATTTCCTATTATGAACTTGAACAAGCAACAAAAGGATTCAGTGAAAGCAACTTGCTTGGTAGTGGGAGTTTCAGCATGGTCTATAAAGGGATACTTAAGGATGGTACTCTTTTGGCAGCAAAGGTTTTAAATGTGCCAATCAGAGGGTGCATTCAAAAGTTTTGACACAGAATGTGAGATGCTAAGAAACCTCCGCCATCGAAATCTTACCAAAGTCATCACTAGTTGCTCTCAAAGCCTTAGTATTGGAATACATGCCTAATGGGACACTTGATAAATGGCTATACTCTCACAACCTGTTCTTGGATTTATTGCAGAGATTAAATATAATGATAGATGTTGCATCTGCAATGGACTATCTCCACAATGGCTATTCAACACCTGTGGTGCATTGTGATATGAAGCCAAGCAATGTCTTGCTAGATCAAGATATGGTTGGCCATGTCACTGAAATTGTTAGCTGCAGGAGACGCTTTTGTTCTAACTTAGGACAATCGCAACCATAGGATATATTGCTCCAGGTATTATAACTTTAAAGCTTCCTCATATCCTTGTACTACCCAAAACATTAATTCTTTACCCCGGAAATAGATTGGCAAGCTTTTCTAATTATTTTGACCATGATTCCAGAGTATGGACAAGATGGAATAGTATCCACGAGTTGTGATGTTTATAGTTTTGGCATCTTGATGATGGAGACGTACAAGAATGAGACAAGTGATGAAATATTTACTGGAGACTTGAGCAAGTGAGATTCATAAGGTGGTGGATGCTAATTTGGTGGATGAACAAACCGCCGGAAAGATGCAGTGTATGTTATCTATCATGGAATTAGCTTTGAGCTGCACTCTAGTTGCAAGAACTAGCATAGAAGAAGCTCTCTGCACACTTGAATATATTAGGTCCAGCTTTGTCACTAGTCAACACTAGGTGGAATCAGGATTCCTATATTTTCCAAATAATATGATTAAATTTGGTTATATCGTATAAACCTGGTATTTCTAATATACAACGTTCAAATAAAAAACCAAAACAGTAAAATTCATGTGCAACTTCATTTGAATCTCTTTGAAAGTTGTGTGGTATCTACTGGCATGAGATTAAAATGTTTTATAAGGCATGGAATGTGACAGGTTTTGACGATATATGGCAAGTCTAAAAGAGAAGAAATGACGTGAAGCTGCAGATGTAGAAATAATTTAAAAGAAACATTCACTAAAATATATGATTGTTGTGTTGTCAATGACTAAAAAATAGTGGTACAAAACTTTGGATTAAACTAAGAGAATCATCGATGAAGTGAGAACTACAAAAATCAAAGGGAAACAAATATACAAAAAGATCTCAGCTATAAAAAGTGGGATCTCTTAATCCTCCTTTGAGAGAATCTACACCACTAATAGACTAACAACACGAGGTCCAGAAGCCTTCAACCAACTATAGATTCATGTTTCCTACAACAACAATCTGTATATAGACAGGACATCACCACTGCAAGCAGCCTTTCTTCATGGAAAACAACACCGGAATTTCAAATGCACTCTTTCGAATCTCTTTAAAGCTGTGAGGTATCTAATGGCATGAAACTAAAATGTTTTATAAGGCTATCTGCTTTAATGGTGATTCACAATTCTTCAGAGCAATGTAGGCAATTGTAATTAATGATCTGGTATGCAAGGCTCTCAGGTTCTGGAACCATAGCTGAAGTTAAGCCATTCCAAAAGTGAAATGTGACTGCTTCTTTGAGAATAGTTTTAAATAGCATATCTTGTTCAGCTTTCTCATTCTCCGTTGCTGGTGCTGAGAAATATCTGCCAAAGGAAAAGGGAGAGTTGGTACATATTTTTGTCTATAACCCCCTGTTTTGGATTATCATCCCAGCAAGAAATAAGAAGAAAAATAAGCAGATGTTGCTGTTTGGTTACAAAAACCATGACATGTTCGGATGCTGCTGAAGCTCACTGAATGAGATATTAGACAGCCAAGGTTTTTGATTAGTTAGCTTTTTAACTAACTTCTCTTGTGTTACTATAGAGTTTTATGCCCCATTTGTTGGAATAAGTTGAGTAATTATGTTTTGAATGGTGTATTTTCAGGATCATGGAGTTGTGGACGCTTTGAGAATGATAAACATGGAAAAAGGCAGATTCCGAACTTGGAAACTTTTGTTTAGTTCCCCTTAAACTTCACGTGGTCATTAATACCCCCTTAAACTTGGCAATTTCATAGCCTCGACCCCCGTGGAAGCTGACAATCCTTAGGAGCATGACACACGAGCTCCCACATGGATTTTTTTTGTTCATGTGGCATTTTTTTACAAAAAAATGTGTATTTTTACCTTCAAGTCCACCATCTATTTAAATCATTTTTTTGTGCCAAAATCTATATAGAAAAAACTTGAAACAACGTTATTTTGACCATGATTTCTTATTTGGCTAATGATAATGATATTTAGCCAAGTTACTTTTATATATTTAGACAGGAAAAGAAGGAATACACATTTAAAACATATTATCATTGTATCTAAAAAAATACGTTAAAATTTTAGCTTAGAATAATAAAATTTCGACCAAATATTTGTGAATTTGACTCAAAAAAGAAAAATGCATAATTTAACTAAATAGTCATTGCATGAAAATGAAAATAAAAATACACAGTATTTTTTTCTTTTTGTAGAAAATATACTATTTGAACTTCATTACTTTTGCTAAATCTTTTTTTTTATTTGGCTAAAATAAATGAAGTTTCAACTAACTTTTACAGATTTGAATCGGAAAAAAAGATACGAAATACATAGTAATATATATTCATTGTATTTAAAAAAAATACAATTGGGAAAAATATGCAATCTATCTTAAGAAGAAACAACGAGAAATACAATTGGAACAAATAAATTGTTATATTTGATTATGTAGCAATTAATATTTGAAAAATACTCCATTTGGAAGCTAATTTTTTTATTTTTCTTCCCTCCCACACACCTAAAAGAGAGGGTATTCATGCTCTTTGCCACATCAGCATCTAGGAAGGTCAAGACTATCAAATTTCCAAGTTCGAGGGGTGTATGGGTATTAAAGACCACAAAAAGTTTAAGGGGGAATTAAGCAAAAGTTGCCTTCTGCCCATGGAAAAATAGCAAGAAAAGACCAAGTCCAAGTGAACGATTGGAAGAATTGAAGTTGTAACTGAAGGCCAAAAATGTACGTAGCCTACGATGCAAAGCAAGTAGCCTACGTACCTGGAAAATGGGATTAAGCTGAAGACGGGGATGCTCTGGTTTTGCCTACGTGAAGCACACAGCCTACATGGGGAAAAATCACCTGAAGAAGCTGAAGCTCACGTAGCCTACGTGAAGCCCTGAAGAAAGCAGCCTACTTGAAGCATGAATATGAAGCTAGGTGGGGCCAACCAAAGGCAATTTTGTCCACTTTTGGGACTTGATATATATAGAAGTTTAGGTCATTTTTAGGTCATCTTTGCTTCTCATTTGTACTCCATAGTAGCCTTTAGCTAATTTTGGGAAGGATTGGAAGATCAACAGCAACCTTGTTTGGATTTTCTTACTCTTTAAGTCTTAATTATGTTTATCTTTTCATCTCAACTCTTATTTTCCATTTCTAGTATGAGTAGCTAAGCTCCATAGCTGGATTATAAACTCTTATGTCATTAATATGATGGGTCTTTGTTCATCTTGCTTATTATTACTTGGATTGTGATTATCTACTTGTTTCCATGCTTTATTGTTAATTTTGGTGGTTGCATACACCAGATTGAGCCCTTTTTATCTATTTCTTACTTGGAAATGTGAAAATTAGATTGGGTAGTCAACAAGTAGCAAGGATTGGAGCTTATGAAGGAATTAATGAAAATTTCTACTTAGGTCATTATCAATTGGGGCTTATTGAATTCCTTTGGGTTTGAAAGAACTTTTTAGGGAAAAGCTTGGCTATAGTTGGAAAATTCTAGTGGGCAGCTATCAATTGGATCATAATCACTAATACGAAGTATTTAGGCAAGATTAAAGACACCCATGAACTAATTATGTCATATTAAGGTTGCAACCCTGATCCTTCTCTTTATTAGAAAACCCATCTTTATTTGCATTCTACGTGCTCTTTCAAAGTTAGTCATAACTAATCACCACTCTTTTGTTAGAAGATAAACTTAAGAAACATCGAGGTTGCACACTTTTAAACACTTTAGCACACACTCCTTGTTGGATTCGACCCCAACCTAGTTGGGTTTATTATTGCTAACGACCGTCTACGCTTCACTTAGAGGCGTAGGATTGGACGCCATCGGTTTTCTCCCTTCAACTTATACTTCGTGGGGATTTAAAAAGATTATTAGGGCTAAACTACACGAATCAATATTTTACGAGGTCAACATTGACTCCTGATTTAGGAAAAATATCGAAATTCAAATCAATATTGAAATTACTTGTTATGTTGTCAAAATTTTGCAGCTTACTGAAACAGAAAGTGTTGCTTATGATGTAAGGGGGCTAGACTAATGCTACTCTCTTTCAGTACAAGACTCAACAAAGTTATATGACGTCACCATTATGCATTAGTTAGAGCAGTATATTTTAACCAAATTAGTAATAACATCATGACCGTAAGTGCAACCAATAACTCTAGTTAGAGCAGTATATATCAACCAAATCAGTAATAACATCATGACCGTAAGTGCAACCAATAATCACAATAACTCTAGTTGTGACGCTACCCATCATGACAAGAAAAGGAAAAAAGGCAATAATGTTAATATGACTAAATTTCTTTTTTGAAATGGTAATGTTAATATGACTAACAATTAAAAGTTTGAAATAACAATAATAAATCTTTCACTACATTTAAGCATTTACAATCCTAAGTACCACATTTTATACTTTTGAACTAGAGACTGAAAGGTAGTAAAGTCTGTACCTGGTAATATTATTATGACCGATAGGGAAGATAAGAAAAGAGGGTTGAAACTTGATCTCCATCGTTCTATCGGAGAGATTATCATTGCCAGAAAAGTTACTAGCAACTCTTGTCAAAAGATCAGCTCCATTCCACCTCAATTGTGCGTCGTCATAAGAGGCATAAAACTCCTTCAAACACTCCATTATAAAAGGACTGCAAAAGACGTACAAGAAAGTGAATCTTGGCCATAGGGTAGACAGAAGAGAATATACTTTACATCCTTTATATACTTTTGCCACGGAATACTTGTATTATCCTGTCCTTTTCCCACAATACACTTTAAGAGGTAGCACGGTTTGAGGTTATTCTAATACTAAAATGGAATCCTTTGGTAGCATTTTCAGGCAGCGAAGGACAACTTGAAATTACATTTTATTTTATGTGTCCAGGCCGACTTGCATGCACCTTGACTAATCCAATGGATACACCTCCCACCAGCAAAGACAACCAAAATAGTTTGTTCATTTGCAGGATGAAAGAAAGCCTTATTTCCTCTTTATTTTTTTTTTGGGTTGGGGTTGGGGGGGTTGGGGGGG